AATTATATAAAGAGCATATGAAAAATAAAGCAAGATAAGAGAAGGGATGGCAATAAAGGGAGTTAAATTTAGAATTTTATTTTATTTTTTATTTTTTTTTTAGAGGTTTTTTTGCTATAGGGCACGTGCACTCGCCAGACTGACAGAAAGATAGAAAGCGAAAAATCACCCCCCAGGGGGGATGGCCACGCCACAATCCCTTCTCCTCCATTCTCCTCTCGGGATCTTGGGCACGCACGCGCGCACACGCGCCTGGCGTGAGCTTTAAGCCACTGGGTCCGGGATGCGAACTGCGGTCGACTACATGGAAGTCCAGCGACATAGCCATTACACTAACTGCTGGTCCTTAGAATTTTGTTTTTTAATTAGAAATTATTCTGGGGGCCAGTAGATGGTGTAGCAGTTACATTGTTGGACTCCCATGTGGCCAACCGTGATCTGAGTCCTGTACCCAGTGGCTTGAAACTCATGCCGGGTGCATGTGTGATGCCCAAGATCCTGAGAATAGAGGAGAAGGGAAATCACCTCTGGGGAGTGATTTCTCACTTTCTCTCTCATTATCTTTGACTCTCTCCTAGCAACCGCAAGTGCCCTAAGTCAAAAAAGGGGGGGGCTGGGACCAGATGTTAGCGTAATGGCTATGTTGCTGGACTCCCATGTAGTCGACCACGGTTCGAGTCCCAGACCTGGTGGTTTGAACTCATGCCGGGTGCATGTGTGTGCATGCCCAAGATCCCAAGAGGAGAATGGAGGAGAAGGGATTGCGTTGTGGCCATCCCCCGGTGGGTGATTTCTCACTTTCTATCTCTCTGTCTCTCTCTGTCTTTCTGGCGAGTGCATGCACCCCATAGCAGAAACCTCTCCAAAACAAAATTATAAAAAAGGGAGGAGGGCTGGACTGTGACACAATGATAAATGTAATGCTCTGCAAGATAGACCCGCATGGGAAGGTTACAGGTTCGTGACGAGAGATGTAGTTAATATACTGGGGACACACATGACCACGATCCAAGCTGGTTCAGACTGGGGATGGGTCACAGTATCCACAACCCTGTGGATTGTGCTGTCTCTCTGTCTATCTCTCTAACATTCATGGAAGAAATAAATAAATGTCAACATGTTATTATAAATAATGTTTGCACATCTGTTTTTCAAATAACTAAATAAATAAAAACTTGCTTTCAATTGCTTTTCTGGGACCTCTCTCTTTACCATATCCTATTTTTATTTCTGTTCTGTTGAGCCATAGGCAAATTTCATTTTAAAATTAATAAATAATGAATAATTAAATTATAAATAATTAAATATCAGAAGAAATCTATTATTAGATCTAATATAGCAAAAAAAAAAATGAAAGTGTAGTACTGGAATGGTTAAAGTGAGAAATTATTCTATAGAACCCTCTATTTTCTCTTCCTTAATTGATGCCTGAACATCTGTGTTTGTGTTGATGGGAAGAGAGGAGAATAACTAGAATCGTTCATTCCAGCCAGGTCAGAGCTTGGCACTAAAGATAAACAGCACTGTCACAAGGCCAGTGGGAAGGTTCTGTCACCTTGGTCTGTCTGAAACCCCACAGCCTTCAGCTTCCTTCTCTGCATACTAAAAGGCCATCTCTGGGGAGAAATGAGAAGAGGAAATAAGGAACACCCGAATAGAAGGGAGGTGATCACATCCCATTTCCTTATGTCATACAACCACACTTACGTGATGCTGATGTGGGAGTGTGTGCCAGCTGCGTGTGACTGTTGAGGCGCTGGTGGGAGGCAGGGGCCCCTGGCTGTGCAAAGCAGGTGCAGGCTTTCCCTGGAGGAGAACGAGAGGGGTGTCAGGGCTGAGGAAGAGCGGCAACCTTTTCCTTGACTAACTAGTTACACTTGAGTTGGTTTTGTCGGAATAAGCTGTTCACATGAAGAATGACCGGACCCCAAGCAGAAAAAAAAAAGTTTTCTTAGATTTAGTATTCTTTATTTACACATGAACAGCACATAATTGTAGCAAACATTAATCGAACACTTACTATGTGCTGGACATTACAGCAATGCTTTACATACATCCTCCCATGTGATTCTTACCATGACTCATGAGGTCCTATGATTATTCCCATTTTACAGATGAAGGAACATAGGGTCAGGGATGTTGGCTAATGTGTCCCAAATCATAACTATCGTAAATATGGCATAGAAATCACGCCTCAGCTCTCTGACTCTGAAACCTGGATTAATCCCATTCAACCATTTGACCGTGGTCAAATCCCGTGGACTAAGAACAATGGTTATCTCCATTCTGTGAAGGCATGGTAGAAAGTATGGTGTTTAGGAGAGAAAATAGTGTTAGTAGAGCCAGATTTAGCTTTGGCTCTGTCATTTATTGGTCATATAAATTTGAGAAATCTTATTCTTCTAAGATTTACAACATCCTCGATGACCAAGTTTCTGAGACTATTTCATCTCTTTGAGACTCCATGTCTGTGTCACCACCAACATTATCATCATCATGTATTTGATGTTCTCTGGCCCTAATATTTTCTCCTACCTGAAATGACCAGTGATCCCCTTAATTCTCCGATTGAGAGGAGGCCACAATGTACGTCTACACTAGTAACGATAGTAATAATTGTAAATACACTTAGGACATGCCTACAAGTCAGGGGTTTTTAGCGCCTTATCTCAATCTTTACAACTATTGCATGAAATAAAGACGAGTGTCCTCTCTAAGTTATAGTTAGAACAGAACTTGCCTGGAATTCGACACTGCTGATTTTGCTTCCCTTCTTCCTCCCTACCCTGACTGCCAGCTGTCTTTGGAACTCCAAAAGGGCGTCCATGAAAATGGCATGGAATTGCCAGCAGGAAATTGAACACTCCAGGAGTTTGACACTACAAAGACTTGGAACTGTCCACCAACTGGTGCTACTGAGAACCACTGCCGTTCAAAGGAATTTCCGTTTTTTCTATCCCAACTTTTTTTTCCACAGGGGCGTGTCAAATACCTCCAGGTCCTCTTCAGAGGAGCTTGAAAACAGTGAAACTAAGTGACTCACCTGAGAACAAGCAGAAGTGCAAAGTGACCAAACAGACGCTTATCTTATTGAAAAGGCCAGCCACTCACTTTGCTTTTTCGCACTGTTGAATGGCATGGAGTAAAGGATCCTCTGAAAGACGAACACAGTTCGAGTAATAATAATCTGCGATTGCATATAATTTTCTGCATTTTTTTTTCTGATCGCGAATTTAATCCATTTTCTTGAAAAATCATGCAAAAAACCCCAACTAACCTGGTTCGAACATTTCGATATAGATTGCAATGAAATTTTAATGATTGTCTTCCCATGCCTATCCTCCTTTGCTCCATTTTTAAAGACCTGCCTGGAGTTCAGGATAGGAGAGACCAAGCGCATCCCAGAGGGCAGCAGCACAAACTCGCTCCCCTCCAGCTCCTGCAGCTTGCTTTACCCACCTCCCCTCCCCCTTAGCCCCTCGCTTACCATTGGTCATTGCCATGACAACCAGCAGCTGCCGCTCCAGCAGCGACTACCGCAGCAGGGGTGGGGCTGTGGGGGAGGGGGAGGAGGTAGGAGGAGCCAGATCAGGTGTCTGCTGCAAGTTCTGGTGCTTCTGAGCTCACCCCATCCTCCAAGAGGGAGGAGGCCCAAGTGGTGATGCTGCGCCGCCGCCGCCGCCGCCTCTTCTGCTGATACTCTAGTGAGCCTGGAAGGGTGGTTCCTATTCGCACCATCGCCAACCAGCGAGGGAGGGAGAAAAATCCCAGCAGCCGCTGCTGATGTTGGGCTCGGAGGCTGTGTCCGACTCGGTCACAAGGAAAATGGATTCAGTTTGCATCTCTCCCTCCTTTCAGCAGCTTCTCCGGGTCTCAGCATGGTGAGTAGGAGACCGCGGAGCTATCTTCCTGGTGTCGCTGGTTATTAAACGCCCTATGTATGTATCTGTAGCCTGGACTTAAACAATGACTTCCGTCTCTCCGATGTGCAGGGAGAGATGTGGAGACAGATGAGGAGGGAGAGGGAGGCAGGTTGCCAGGAGGAGAGAAGTAGCAAGGCATCTGCTTGTGATAAAAAAAAAAAAAATGGTGTTGTGATTTTGTCTCAAACCGGCTTAGAATGTAGACCGAGCCTCTGGTTCCTTCCCCCCTCAGCTTAGCAGTGAAATCAGGGGCATGGAAAAGGAGCTAACAAGAGAAGGTGTTATTGAAAGGAATCATTTCATTTGCAGCCCTCACGTACAGGGTTGGGCCTTCCTCAGAAACACATTTGTGTCTCATAAGCTGAGGCCTAATTTTTAGGTGATTTTGTTTGTTTTCTTCAGTGCTGAAAAAAGAAAAAGAAAAAGAAAAGATGCCTCTAGAATGTAGCATTCTATTTCAAATTCTCATGTACTCTGGGTGAGAAACCATTTGCCTGATCTGGAGTTTTATTTTTAGTACATAGCTTTGATTGTGAACATACCCATGTATAGCTTATGATATATGCGTGTCATAGATGCACATGGTACTAAGCATTTCTGTTGCATTTACGGGTATATTTATATGCAGTGTGTGCTTTGCGAACATCATCTCTGGTTAATAAATGCCCTTGCATGCTCCAAGGTAATGGTATATTTTTGAAACGGTGCTTCTGGCTTGTATTATTAACCTTTGGCTTCATTTGGATTAATATGAGATTTATTCTCATTATTGTCCTTCAGTTTCATTGTGACCATTAGGATAGATACCTAGAATATTTGATCTGTTTCATAGAACTAGATGGGCATTCAGAACCTGCTTCTTTTCTTTATTTTTAATTGGGTTTGTGGGGGGTGATATTGAGGGCCCTGAATTTACAATGGTGGGAGAGGGAGGTGGCTTGTGGCATTATTTTGTGTCCAGCATCTTGCCAAATGAATTTTGAAACGAATCAGTTTTCCTAAAATTCCACCCCATCCTTTTCACATTTGAGGCTGGTGGAAGCCCCATCTGAACTGGAAGGTGAAGTACATTCATTTTATTTCATAGTGCTGCTATTTTCCGTTCATTCCTTTAGTATCCCGGCACCATTTTATGGTCTTCTCAAATGTATTATGAGTCTGATTCTGTAAGTGATTAAGTGAGAAAGTAGGATTGTTTTGAAAATCTAGGTGTCCCCAAGTACTCTAGCCTTCCCATTTCCAAATTAGCCCGACTGTACAATGAAATGGAAGAAGAGAGTGGGGAAAGCTTAGCAGGAGAATGTCTGGCTTGTGGCTGAGAACTGGGGGGCTATTGTAGTTTACAAATGCATACTGCGATCTGCTTGACCTTTTATTATGTCAAGGCTTTATAGCAGCTCAGGAGAGTAAAGATGCCTGAGATGAGTAGGATACTGGGCTCCATGACCACCCAGGATAATGGATTTCATTGAATTAAAGCCAGGAAAACCCTTACAGGTAAAAATGTCTCAGTAACATTACATGCCTCAGATGAACTAGGTATATCCATCAATCTCCTATCTGATCATATCACTGTCTGTGGAAACATCTTTTACAATATAAAATAATGGTATCCTCTTTTGCTTTCATCTTGTATGTTCTTTCACACACAACCCCCCTCATTTACACTTTTATATGTATTTGAATCTGGTTGTATAGTTCAATTGATCTGAGAATAACTGCCCTATTTGGTTAATACCTAGGAAAGCTCCGTTGTGACTTAATGGGCTTTTAACATGTCGTATACTGATTCTCAGCTCTGTAAACTCAGGCTTCCCTGTGCCTAATTGTATCAACCTATGTAAAGTAGGACAAGGAAAGAGGTGCTGGGTTTATATGCCATAGCCACATTTTTATAACACACTGCATCCTGAATCTTTTAATGATAACTTTGACTTCCAAGTTAAAATTTCATGTATATCTATAGCAAACTTGAAAAAAACTAAGGTACCTAGTTGTTGATCCAGTTGGTGCAAAGGAAGCAAATCTCTTCAGGCTTTGTTTTCAGTTCCTTTGTGTGGAGTTTTCATATGTTGTGGTTTATTAGGCGAAGTTGTTATAGTTTGAACAGAGGCCCATCAACAGAGGTCATGGGCTTTAATCTCTGTAGGTTGCCTGTTTCAGCCATGTGGCCAGATCTGTTGAGAACATAGGTCTAGTTTTGACCCTACAGTGTAAGATGATTGTATGACCTTTGCTAAAAGTCCACAGAAAATTGAAGTATGTTCAAAGGACTACATGTTGAACTCTCTGAGGTAGAGTAAAGAAACCAGGATTATTTCATGGGGAGAAAAACTGAGAGATGGCAATCATTTGTTGCAGATAAGCTGAGGGTTTACACAACACTTGGGTTATTGCTTTTTTGGGGAAACTTAAATATGGCCAGTGGGCTTCAACTTTATTCAGAAGAATGATGATTAGAGATATAAAATGTAAAGCGAGTAGGTGGTGTGGAGGGTAAGGTGCTGGATCCCTCACGGCCACCTTCATGGGTAGAGCCCTGGACCCAGTGGTGTGAAAATCATGCTGGACATGGGTGCGTACATATCCAAAATCCCAAGAGGAGAATGGAAGAGAAAGGATTGTGGTGTGGCCTTGGGGGGGGGTGTTTCTTACTTTCCTTCTCTATCTCTCTGTCTATCTCCAGCAGGAGCATACTTACCCTGGGGGGAGGAATATATATATATATTTATATATTCCACAGCATTCCACAGCAGATGTGAATATTCTATTGCATATTTAGATAAGGCAGAACACTCTTTGCTCATTAAAATCTCCATAAGTATGACCTACATATGCATTTGTCTAGGGTGGATTAGATTCCTTCACAAGAACGTCTCAGACTTTTGCTAAAGTAAATCAGTCATCTAAAAGTGTGTTTAGTTGTTCAACATCAGATCTAGATCTATAGGGAAATTTCCATTTTGTAATGAGCTTTCACATTACAGTATCTAGATATTTTTCTTTAAGTTCAATTTACTCGTTTCTCCCATTAGTGGGAGATACAGAAAAAGAGAGACAAAGACAGGGGTACAGGCACCCCCAACAAAGTGGCTACATTGTGATCGACTCTCTGCTTCCAGTCAGCCTCAGATCATGCGTCCACAGGTGCCTGCCACACTCAGGGAGTTCTCCAAACACTAACCAGGAACCTTCTGAAGTGGGATTGCCTTGTGAGGATCATGTTTTTTTTTTGTTTGTTTGTTTTATTTTGTTTTTTAAAGAGGTTTTTGCTATAGGGCGCGTGCGCTCGCCAGACAGACAGAGAGACAGAGAGACAGAAAGCAAGAAATCACCCCCAGGGCAGATGGCCACACTGCAGTCCCTTCTCCTCCATTCTCCTCTCGGGATCTAGGGCATGCACCCACACTCGCCCGGCGTGAGTTTTAAGCCACCGGGTCGGGGACGTGAACCGTGGTCGACTACATGGGAGTCCAGTGAAATAGCCATTACATTAACTGCTGGTCCCGAGGATCACGGTTTTATCATTGCTCCATTGTCTGGGCCCCCAGAATCTGGATGTTTTAAATAAATGGATTAATCATTTGTCTGGAGAAATTTATAGGTGATCCTGCCGGGATGCAGGTAAATCAGGATGGGCCTGTTCATAAAAGCCATCCTTTCTCCACAACTGGAGGAAGATGGAGTGTGATGCCAGATAGCTGTGTTAAAATTATTCCCCATTGTATAGTTAATTTTGAAAATTGTAATGTGTTATTTAGTGGTGTCTAAATAAAAAATAATTTAAGAGCCATTAAGCTGATGGCAGAAAAAACAAATTATGTGAAAGATACATACAGGTTATTGTTTAAATGTGCTGTTTAACAAACTAATTTTGTTAATTATTTTTTCCTCAAACACTATCTTGCAAGTACCACTCTGGTTGGAATATTAAAGTTAAATATTTCGACTGCTATGTAAGCCTTTAGTAAAACTTGTTTTAATTAAAATACACATTATGTAATTTCTTGCTCTGTGATAGAATGCTTCTTATTTCCTAAAGGGACCTCAGAATATATTTTGATTTTATGTATGTGCTATAAGAATCCCTCAGGTGACTTGGAAAATATTTAGAGAGTAAAAACTGTTTTCTGCATTTCTCATCAGTTTACAACAGGTCAATGCTTTGTTTCCCATGGTCGAAGACTAAAAGAGAACCAAATTTATTGTGGAAATTTCAGTATAAGTAACTAAAAAATCAGCTTTTATTGAAATAAATAATCTAGGATTATATGTGATTGTTAACTGAGGAAAGTTCCCCTGTTTACATAACCCACTATGACAAGGACAATTCTAAAAGTTCAAACTGGAATTAAAGATTCCAAAATGGAATGAAAGTATCAATTTCTTCTGGTGCAGAATTTTTGGAATCTATTCAGGTT